TGACCCATTAGGTCCAACATAGCTACTGACATAAACGGGCTCGGACCCAACAAGCCCACAACCCATTTAATGACAACACAGAGCACTAGCAATGCTTTGTTGCCCCAGAGCTAGTTAGATTAATGACTTGATCATCCTATTACACATATTTGGTTGCCGTATGTATTTCTTTTCGTCTCGGTTTACCTTCCCATAAAACCTAGGGTAAGGAAGCGTATCAACCCTTGCGGTTTAGGGTAAGCTTTATTCGAAATAGGGAATCTTCAATTTACTGACTCTAAAGGCAGATCATCTCATGATCTCTTTTACTATGCATAGATTCCCGAGTCCCTGTAAATGTCATCCCGATTTCTCCGGTTTACAGATAACCTAATCTCTCACAGAGATTTGACGAATTCCTTCAGCTTATCACCCTAGCCCTGTGCTCTTTCAGGACAAGCCCAACAGTATACCTATGAGTCTCCATGTTTCAGGCAGACGAGGTATACAGTCAAAGCATGTCTTCTAGAACACAGTCTAGGTAATAACTTCTGGTCTAAGGAAACACATACCCAAATATAAAGAGACTACTCTAATGACACTCTCTGTGAGATTTTCTCATAGAGTCTCTTTCGTGGGTCTTTTCAGTGCGAGCTATACCCTTATAGATCCATCCACGACTTTAGCTAAGACATCTCCATATCTGTAGCTCATGAGGTCTTTACCTTGCATCCGAATACAAGTAGATAAGTCGTGCTAGTCTTACCCGAGATCACTGATCCCTATTCTCAGTGTCTCTAGACTAGGAACATAAAATTAGGAATAAATATCCAGTATCCTTGAATCCTCATGATTGTGATCTCATCAGAGATACTCAAGAGATACCTATTTTATTCCAAGGGATTTATCTAGTTACTCATATGAAATATTAACAGTAATATTGAGACAAAATATGAAACATGATAAATAGTATTTTTATTTATTTGCGACAATACAAAGGTCCACATATGTCCTAATCTAATTAAAAGATTGTCTCTAGGACATCCATATACTAACATTTGTGTGATTGATTTAATTGATTGCAAATTGCACAACAGTAGGGCCAAATGGCCCACAATATAAAGGCTCGCAAGAGCCAAAAGCATTGTGGGCTATGGCCAGCCCCGCAGCCCATTCAAAATTGTAATTTCAAAAATTTTATTTTTTAACATATTAATACATTCAAATTTTTTTTTTCAAACGAATATTTAACATTTTATAAATATTTTATATGAAGTATAAATTTTCATAATTTAATTTTGTTTATTAAAATTTGTACACAAAAACACAAGTGAAAATGTAAACAAAATTTTAATATAAGTAAAAATTTAATTTTACTATATTTGCTAAGTTTTGTTGTTAAAGGATACCATCAAATGAGTTTTTCACCAGGAGTCATGACAACCTAATTCCTGATAGCAATTCTAGAGAAAAACCAAAAGAAATGATGGAAAATTTTTCTTCATACCAGCATTGAACAACTACTTTTACTATGTTATATATTTGAATGTTAAATCATTAATTTTTTATTATTTTTTTTGGTAAATAAAAGGCCTAAGCCCAAACAAACACAAAGAAAAACAGACAAGAAAGAAAACTAAAAGTTACGCACGACCTCACGTGGTCTACTAACAGAAGCCAATTTCGCAAGCAGCAAAAGATGAATACTAGGAGGAGGATCCCACCAAATTCTTTTATCAAACTGCTCTTGATCGTCAAGCAAAAAATTGGCCAACCAATCTGCACAAGCATTACCTTCTCTAAAGGTATGACATAATGGCACTGACCAATTCTTTTGAATCAATATCCGTATGCGAGATATCAGATGACACTCACGGATTGCTATACCATTCTTGGATAGCAGAGTGATTACACTAGAGGAATCACTTTCAATAATCACATTGCGAGAACCTGCACTCCAAGCCATCTCCAAACGCCTAAGCACCCCCCACAATTCAGCTTTGAAAGAATTACAAATCCCCAATCTTTACGCATATCCTCCCAACCACCTCTCATTGTCATCTCTCAACACACCATTGCAAGCAGCAAAGCCAGGATTACCTCGAGCAGCTCCATCAGTATTAATTTTAATCACACCAGTATCAGGAAACTATCATGAAATATCTATAGTCATAGTTCTTCTTTTAGCAAACCGATTTGATTGAATACAACAAGAATTATGAATATCTATAGTCATAGTTAAATCATTGATTTTCTTCAACTACTTTCATTATAAAAATCTTTTTATTAATTATTATCCACAACACTACCAACGTACATTGCATATGTTTCAGTGCAAATTTAACACTTTTATAAAATAATATATAATTTTTTTTAATAAATAATGTTTGTACATAAATACACAAGTGAAAATATACACAAAATTTTATTATAAGTAAAAATTTAATTTTACTATATTTGCTAAGTTTCTTTATTAAAGGATGCTATCACATGATAATTTTTCACCAGGAGTCATAACATCACCATTTCTTACAACAATTCTATTGAAAAACCAAAAGGAACGATGGAAAAATTAGTTTAATACCAACATTTAACAACTATTTTTAGTATGTTATATATTTGAAAGTTAAAATCATTGATTTTCTTCAACTACTACCATTATAAAAATATTTTTACTTATTATTGTCCACAAAATTACTAAGGTACATTGCATACAGTATGTTTTAGTGCAAATTTAACACCTTTATAAAATATTCTAAAAAAATTATAAATTTTTCATAATTTGATTTTTTTAATAAAATAATATTTGTATACAAATATACAAGTGAAAATATAAACAAGATTTTAATATAAGTAAAAATTTAATTTGACGATATTTGATAAGCTTCGTTATTAAATATTGTAAAGGTTTGTCAAGCACCCGTGAAGCTTGACCATTAGTGAAAGAGTTGATCGAGTGGCTTCAGTCGGGACGTAGGTCACAAGTGGTGGTGACCGAACCAGGATATATTGAGTTTGCAATTCTCTAAACTCTAAACTCTTTATTTTTAGCACTTCAATTGCTTCTCTGATATCTTGTATGTGCTGGTATAAGTTCTATATTTGTGATATATTGTATATTATGGATTGTCTGAATGTATTGATTAACTTTCCATATATCAAAGTTTGCTTGAAATGATTATTTAAAAACTAGAAGGGGGCTTTTGCGAAAATCTTGTAATACTCAATTCACCCCCTCTTGAGTATGGAAGCCATATTCCTAATAGCCAAGACGTGAGTGTCTGCACAGTGTTGGCAGCAATAGTAAATAGGTCAGAAATATGTACCTGGGGTCTTTAACCTCTTATTTATAAGGGTTACCTCTTGAGCTTGTGTAGATCTTCAAGTTGTAGTAGGATCCAACTTCCTTGCTATTGGGATAAGGACTCTATTCTTAGCAGCCTTACTGTTTTATATTGTTAGGATAATTTGATAATTATCCTTTAAGGGATCATTGGATAGGTGGTTAGGATTTGGAAATATTTTATAACAGTGGGCTTAGTATAAGAGAAAAATAAAGAATGTATTCAATTTTCTCATGCTCGAATAATATTGGAAAACCTTCTTTTTTACCTATTCTTGAAATCATTTAATTCCCTCTTTCCTGCAACTCAGGGCTCACGGAGATTGGAACAGATTATTGACTCATCCTCTCACTCATCATTGAGGAATTTTCCTCATCTAACTATGGAAACAAGGTGTGTCATTTTAGATGACACACCTTACATCCTTCCACTCTCACAAAGAGGTAGGACCCACAATCTTAAAACCTTTTTTCCTCTATTCTCTCCCATGATTTATCTCTTTCTCTCACTTGAAATGATACAATTTGTGTCCTTTAAAATGATACACACTTTTTCCTATAATGATACACATGTTCTGCATTGAGAAGGCACATTCTACACATCATTGAGAGAGATATTACACACCACATAAACATCATTTTAGAGTCAACGTACCCATATCACCACTCTCAATCTATGGAGAAAAGTTAATGCGGTCCAGGTGCAGGTGCACTTTTTTCAAAAGTAGAAAAAAATTAGGACATGAAAGAAAACAAGCAAAATGATATGAATAAAAATGTCATAAGAAATTTCTATTTTTGAAAAATGAAACACCTAATAAAAGTGCACCTGCTCCATATTAACTTTTCTCCTATCTATGCTTGGGATATTGCTCATGGTGATTTTCCATTGAACTTAAATTTATACTGATGATCACTATTACATTGATATACTATACTCCTTTGAGAGAAACATCTCCATCTACATCACCCAAATATCCAAATAGTTCAAGGGGGAAAAAAAAAAATCAACGACAACCATTGCGGGAAATCTAATTTGGATATATTTATATTTAACGCAATAACTAAAAATTATGATATTAGTTTTAGCATTTATAAGGCTTAAAAAACTAATATTTAAATTTCTAACAAAGTCCTATTTCTATTTTTGTAATTGACTATAAAATTTTATAAAATAACCAAATTTTTTTTAACTAAAAGTTTAAAAATTTAATGTATTCGAAATAAAAATACATTCTCTTTCATTACATCATCCAAACAATAAAATACAATAATTTTCTATTTCATATTAAATATCCAAATAATGATATACAAATTGGACTTTATATTATTTCAGTCCATCTTTTACAATTAACTTAATAGCATTTTACCAAAAAAGAAAAAGAAAAAGAAAAGAAAAGAAAAGTCCAAGATGCAATGTTAGACAAATATTAGGGGAAAATGTTTGTCATTTTAATTTAAGAGAGATAGACACAAGAAATTTTTTTATTTAAAATTTAAATTAAAAAAAATTACTTACCTTCTATTTCTAATGATTTTCATTTTTTGTGTTTATCTCTCTCTTAAACTTAAAATGACATAACTTATATCATCTAAAATTACAAACACCAATCCCTAAATATTATTAGTTTATAACGCAGAATTGGGGTTTTTAGAAGTGTAGGGTTTATGGTGCTAAGACACAGCCACAAGTTATAGAGAAAGCAGAAACATGAGCAACACAAGAATGAGTTTGGTAGCAGGTTCTTACGAGAGATTCATTTGGGGCTTCACTCTCAATCCCAAAACGCAAACCTTAACTCCTCTTTTTACCTACCCTTCCCATCTCTCACTCATTAAAACCGTCGCCGTTTCTGGCTCCGTCGTGGCCTCCGGCGGCGCCGACGACACTATCCATCTCTATAACCTCTCCGCCGCCTCCTCCCTCGGCTCCCTCAACCACCACTCCGCCACCGTCACCGCCCTCTCCTTTTATGCTCCTCCCAACCTCCCCTACCCCCGCAACCTCATCTCCGCGGCCGCCGACGGTTCTCTCTGCCTCTACGACGCCGATGGCTTCGTCCACCTCAAGACCCTCACCGTCCACCGCAAGGCCGTCAACGATCTCGCCCTCCATCCCTCCGGCAAGCTCGCCCTCACCGTCGGCCGCGACGAGTGCCTCGCCATGGTGAACCTTGTGAGGGGGAGGAGAAGCTTCTGCTGCAGGCTCGACAAGGAAGCGAGCTTGGTGAGGTTCGACGCCGGCGGCGGCGATAACTTCTTCATGGCCACGGAGGAGAAGGTCTCCGTCCACAACGCTGAGGATGCGCGCTTGTTGTTCGAATTGGAATGCCCGAATCGTGTTCTTTGCGCCGCACCTGCTAAGGTTTGTGTTTCATCATGTTCTATCTATCTGTGTTTTTTAAAATATGTCAATTAGGGTTATGGACTTATGGAGCATCAAGTTTTGTAGGTGTATAAACGATTTTAAGAAAATGTTAGTTTCATATTATTATTTTTCACATTATGTCGGATAGGGAATTGTGAAGCCATTGATTTTGATTAAAAAAAAGGGAGGAAGAAAAGGATTGGTGCTGATGATTAATGATGTTATGTGAAGGAAAGTGGTAAGAAGGTTATGTTACCAATTTTTTAATTCAATTTAGAGGTCTTGTGCGTGTTGTGTATAAGAGTGTCTGTTATGTCAAGGTGAACTGTAATCAAATGCTTTCTCATATGGGGGTTTAATAGTGAGTTAGTGACCTGAATATTTGTAATTTGGACATCAGTGGAACCAAAACGTTTTGGATTTGAAATAAATAATAATGGTTGTCAGTTATCAGAACATGTGAATTTGATTTCAGAATGAATGGGCTGCAGGATGTTGAATGATGTATGGTGAGTTTTGTTGATAGGTTGGAGTCCCAGATTAGCAGTTTAAAACAGAAAATTAAATAAATTATTCTGTCTTCTTGTGTCAAAGGGTGTACTACTGCATACATGTTATGCAGTTGAGTAGTATTAACCGGAAGTTGGAGATGCTGTTCTGGCTTTGAATAGGATCTGGGATCGGTTAACAATTCTTTGCTGCATATTTGTATCAAAAACAGATTTTAACCATGCAACTTTTATTAACATGAAACATATTTATGCTTTATATATGATTCCTATATAATATTTTCTTTCATTGCCACAAAAATGGGATGATCAATGTTTTGTTTTTTCTTGATTTACCATTGAATGACTATATATGAAAGTTATTGCAATCTAAATCTTCTAAAGCATATGTTGGAAAGTATATGATTTTTGTTGAGGGGGCTGGTCTGAGCATGGTTTTTCTACAGTTATACAACTATTCATGATTGAGGTTGAAGTTTCTAGTCTTTAGTCAGTTTTGCTGGTGAAGCGAACTATCTGTGGCATGGACGATCATTATGTACAACTGCATAATTACAATATTTACTGGAATAAATTTACTTAAGGGGGTTGGGGTTGAGGGGAGTGTAATTTTTGTATTGCCATTATTCAAGGAACAGTATCTTTTTTTTTTTTTCTTTTCTTAGATGATGCCTAAAATTTATTATATGTTGCAGAATGGACTTCTCTATACAGGCGGTGAGGACCGAAATATAACAGCATGGGACATAAACAGTGGAAAAGTTGCATATTGCATTGAAGAAGCGCATACTGCCCGTGTAAAAGGTATTGTTGTGCTCACTGATAGTGATGGTGCTACAGGGGGTGATGATCCATACCTAGTGGCATCTGCATCATCTGATGGGATTATACGTGTCTGGGATGTTCGTATGGCTGCCATGGAAAGGCCCAATCCACTAGCTGAATGTAAGACCCAGTCAAGGCTGACGTGCCTTGCTGGATCATGTCTGAAATGTAAGTTGTAAAATCCTTGAATATACTTTTTAAATAGAGAACTATAAATTTTGCTCTTGTTTCTTTTTTATTAACAATTTGTCTTCGTAATGACCCAACTGTTTTTTGGTTGCATGATTTGTTTTTCTAAAACCCAACATGTGTAGTCTTCGTTCATAACCTACTCTTTTATCAATATTTATCTTTTATTTTTTATCTTCAATTTCACCAGTGCAGTAGGAATGATTAAATTGTCATGACCTTTTAGCAGCCCATAACTTTGTGCTGTCAATACCCAATTTGAAACTCTTAACATAATTTTTTTGTCATTCAATAGTATATATTTTTACTGTGTAATAAGAAATTAAAATTTTACTTTGATTATGTGTATGAACATATATATATATCATGTGTGCACTTGCCTTGAGCCTAAGCTGTGAACTTTGCTGTTGTTATTTACGACCCATCGAGTGCCATTGGTACATCGATACTTGAGAGGAGGCAAAAGGATGATGCATTTTAAGAGTATCATTCCACTCTGTACAAAACTCTTAACAGCAAATCTTATTACAGGAAACATGAGGGGGAGGAACACTCTCTCCTGATGGATTCAAATCCTTGAAATCTTTCAGGCACTTTCCAGCTGAAATGGCAGTTAAATATAAACTGGCAAACCGGCCAACATGTTGAATTTATTGAAAACGGAGGTTTTTTGGTTTGCTTTGGTGTTTAGGGACTTCTCTTTCTGCTGCAACCTGTTCATTTCGTTGTATCCAACAATGATGATCAGATTTTAGTTTCCTAACAATCTTTATAAGTGACTTCTTGTGGTTAATATATTTTTTTAATTTTCCTTTCTGCAGTCAAACGACCCCAAGCTGGAAAGAGTAATCCAAAAATAGAGGATCAAACAATGGAAGGTTAATAGCTTTCTTGATGGCGTGCTTGAGAAAATCATTTTGCATATTGAGAAATGTGGCTTTCACCCTTTGGAGGACTCGACTAACATATCCCATTGCCTTGAGAAATCTAATGCAGCTTAGGCCCAGTTGATTCTATTTATCAGTTGCAGTATTATGATACCCTGCTCATCTAACTCCCCAGGTCACATGCACGCGCAACTGCTATCTTTTGGCCTTGAGTCATTTCATACTGTTACCCTTATAAATCTGTACTTCTGGCTGGCAATAATAGCCTATTTTTGTGCGAGTTTTCTGGAAATTGAAACAGAAAAGGTTCATATACGTTTAATTTTTCGTCTTTGGAATATTATATTTTCATGTAATCCATTATTATATAGGGAAAAAGACTTCTCATGTTGCATGAGAAAACTTCTCTCTTACCACTCTCACTTCGATGTCCGTGTTAATCACTTTTTTATTTTTTATTTTTTTATTTAAGGTGGGTCCCATTCCTTTCTTTCTCCGTAGGAAAACTTGAATTTCTCAGTGAGAAATTGCAAGCCCTATTATATATGATGAATTTCCATTTCTTGTGGAAATGACATTAAAAAGAGTGTCCTTAAGTAAAAGTGTGTTTGCAACTGGGATGTAGTTCGCAAAACTCGGACCATAGCAGGCCCGTCAGCTCTTATATTGGGCATTCTAAGATCGAATATGCCAGAATCCTTCCAAAATCACGGTCACTTAAATGATCTTCTCGTTTAGCACAACTTTGGTGCCTTGAGAAGGATAAAGAAAATAAAACATTCGAAACAATGTTGCATATGTTTTTTTGTTTGCCTGACAAAATGCACAAAAATCACAGCTTCCCTTTTTAACATTGTCGCCGAAAAACATTCATTGACAGATTAATCATCATCAATGAAAATGATCATTTTCTTTTTCTGATTTTAGAATTTTGTCATTAAAATATAACCATTAATTTCTATAACTCAAATTTCTTATGTATAATATCTAAATGAAACAAGAGTTTTTTCTGCTCCGGGCGGGAGGTACAATATGATCATGTAAACAAAAGTAGTTAATAACATGTACCATTTAGCGGGAAATATTTTTTATGGTCCAGGATCACCGAATAATCTGGTGCTCCCTTTCATATCATCAATTTTTTTTTTCCTTTTTATCCTTGTAATTTTTTTTTTTTTTAATTTTATCCCTCCATTTACACTAAGGGACCACAAAAAAAATAGTGATCCCCGTCCATTATAAATAATCTCCATTTAGTGGTGCTTGGCTTGTCCATGTTGTGACATCACGTGAAGAGACACCACTCATGGACTTTAGCCATGTGACGTACATGGGTGACCGCTTACCTGCATTATAATCCCCTCCTCTTGTCCTTTGATACCCCTTATTCTTGTGAGTTTCCAAGAATTCCCCCTCCACCCGAGTGTCTCTCTTAACGTATACCTCTTCATTTCCTGGATCATTGACCAAAAAAGCAAAAACATTTTCATTACCCCAGTCAAAGGCACAGAGGCGCATTTGACTTCTTAGATATTTTTGAAAAAAGAAAAGAAAAAGGACCGCGCTATCTGAGTAATAGTATCATAAGAATGTGAATGTTGGCTATAAAACTTTTCAATTAATTTGGATCCATTGCTATTAATCTTGTTTAAAAATATCATAATTAAATTACTGATTCGACCAATATAAATTTGATCTAATCACACACGATTAAGCTTGGTCCAAATGAAAAATGCCTAGAGTGATTAGGCAGATCTTTGATCTTCTCGCTGGAAGATATCCTGTATTAAAATTTATGTGCTTCCGATTATAGTACTTGAGTCGAATTAAAAAGAATGGGTACCTCAGTGATTAATGTTCAACACTAGATTAATGTTCCAATAAAATAAAGAGAACTCTTAACTGCTTCCGGAGCTAAGAGTGCAATTTCCTTGCTCTATACCATTGAATGCATCACATCAGTGATAGCATGAAAAAATATTAAGTACAAGGCAGTTATGGTCAAGGACAAATAATTTCCTTGCCTCATTCCCTAAGCTTAACTAGTCACCAAAACCTCAGCAAAGTTAATGATAATTTAGTAATTTGTCACATTAAGCCATTATCAGTCGACTAGTGATGAGGAGTTCATGTAGTTTGCATGAAGATATAAGTTCGAATCTCAGTGTCTATATTATATTTTATACCATTATTTTCTGGTTCCATTCATCAAGATGTCATAATTACTTAACTAGAAACAAGCATTGCGCATCATAATTCTATCAATCCAGAACAATATCATTTTGAGAGAAAAAAATACAATAAATAATTAAGGGTTTGATTAATAGAGCATCAGAATATCATAGGCATTTTCTATATCTAGTTTATCTTATTCATCAGCTTAATGCAAGAGTGAATTGGCCTGCGGTAGGGATGGGTATGGGTCGACCCGAACCGGATTTTTTGAAGAACCCGGTTCGGTTCTTTAAACCAATTTTTTTTAAATATTGAACTGGTTCCGTTCGGTTTAAAATTGGATCGAACCAGTTCGACCCAATCCGATTATGAACTATTTCAAATTAGTTCTGAATTAGAACCATTTCCGAATCGGTTCCGAACCAGTTTTAAGGAAGACTTTTTTTTTTTAATTCTTGGCAAAGAAAAAAAATAGAGATTAAAAGATGTATATTCTGTAAAATTAGAGGCACAATTATAGAATTATCTAGTAGAATTCTACAAAATGGAATTCTATATTTTCTTCCTCTATTTTTCACTCTTGCTACAAATATGTATACACAATCATATGTATATCATCGTTGAACTTTTTAATTGACAAAATATCCATTCTTTGACAATGTAGGTTTTATATGATTTTCACATTCTATAATTTGGATTAGAATGCATCATTCTTCTTCTTTTTTTAGTTAATCCATCACTTTCATTTGTAGTACACAGAGAATAGAACTGTGAGCTAATTGGTCTCTTTTTCACTTGTCACAAGGATGGACGATCCAAATGATCCATTTATCCCCATCAAAGATGCTCTGAAGGATGAAAAAAGGATAAGATACCTAGGGGTGTGTAAAAAAACTGGTTCACTTGCCCTGCCCTTGATCTGACCTTGACCTGACCCATAAATACCTATATTCTTGGAACTAGTTTAAATACTAACCCACTTTTATTCGGGTCAGTTTTAGACCTGACTTGTTTTAATATTGACCCATTGACCCAAAACTTGACCCATACCCATTACGTGAAAAAAAAGAAAAAAAATCACAATTACATTAAAAGAAAAGTTTTAACGTAAAACAATTACGTCAAAATTTTGTACGGAAAATATTTCCATAAAAAAATTTTGCAAAATTTTTTGACAAAAAATATTTTCATCAAAATTTGTGACTAAAAATATTTCTATAATAAAATTTGACGAAATATTTTTTTGTCAAATTATTTTACGGAATCAAAATTTTGTCAAAATATTTCACAAAAATATATATTCATAAAAAATTTCGACGAAACACATCTCCATCGAAATTTTTTAACAGAAAAAAATTTCATCAAAATTCTTTACAGATTTAAAATTTCGGCGAAAGTTTCCGACGGAAACATTTTCGTTAAACTTTTTGACAAAAAAAAATTTCGTCGAAATTTTTAGCGAAACACATTTCTATAAAATATTTTTAACTAAATATTTTCGTCAAGTTTTTTGATACAAAAATATTTCCATCAAAATTTTCAACGGAACACAATTCTGTAAAAAAAATTTGTAAAAATTTTTGACAAAAAATATTTTGATAAAAAATTTTGACGAAAAAATATTCTGTCAAAATTTTTTAGAGAATCTAAATTTCGTCGAAAGTTTCGAATGAAACATTCCCTCAAAACAATTTCCATCGAAAATTTTGACGAAACACATTTCCATCAAAAAATTTTGACGGAAAAATTTTCATCAAAATTCTTTACAAATTTCAAATTTCGGCGAAAGTTTTCGACGGAAAAATTTTCGTTAAACTTTTTGACAAAAAAAAAAATTCGTCGAAATTTTTAGCGAAACACATTTCCATCAAAAAATTTCAACTAAATATTTTCGTCAAGTTTTTTGATAAAAAAAAAATATTTCCATCAAAATTTTCAACGGAACACATTTTTGTATAAAACAATTCGTAAAAAATTTTGACAAAAAAATATTTCGATAAAAAATTTTGACGAAAAAAATATTCTGTCAAAATTCTTTAGAGAATCTAAATTTCGTCGAAAGTTTCGGATGAAACATTTCCCTCGAAACAATATCCGTCGAAATTTTTGTCAGAACACATTCCCATAAAAATTTTAAACGAAAAATATTCCGTCAAATTTTTTGACAGAATTCTTTTTTCGTTTAAAACATTTGATGGAAGAAATCATTTTCGTCAAAACTTTTGACGGAAACTAAATTTCGATAGAAAATTTATTTTTGTAAAAATTTTCATTAAAGAAAAAATTTCGTCGCTTTTCGACAAAAAGTTTTCCGACGAAAAAATAATTTTGTGACGAAATTTTTGTCGTTTGCAACGCAGAAATTTCGACGAAATTTTGTGAGGAAACCAAGTCAAAAACGGGTTAGGTCATATTTGACCCACTTCAGAAACCAAGTCAGACCCACTTCAAAAACCACGTCAGGTTAGATCCGACCTGGTTCTGAACTAGTTCAACAAAATCCAAACCAAGTCAGACCTGACTTGGATCAAATTAAAGCAGGTCGAGTCAAAATACATGACCTATAAAAACCAAGTTGGATCGAGTCGGACAAAAACCTGACCCGACCTGACCCATTCACAACCCTATAGATACCACAGTGACAATTTAATTAACTTACTAGCTTCTATCATGTATGTAATCATATTTGATACTTACGAGAGTATTACTTTATATATATAATTATTAAGCTAATAAAGTTTTGATGTGATTGATTGCAGTAAAGATGGATGCAATGTAAAAGGCTATTTTGTGTGGTCATTACATATATTTGATCAAGTCATTCTATAAAATAAACCATGAATGATGAATAAATATGTAACCTTTTGCAAAAGCAGCAGCAACATTAACATAATAGAATGGTGCACTTGGATCATATACAAAACACAACACAAATAAGCTCTTGAGAAAACGAGAAAACAGGAGCCATCATTTCCACCCACCTGAAACAAATAGTTAACTTTCTTTGAAGTACTATATAAAGGGAATACACATTAAATTAGCAGATACCACAAGAAACTTTTACCTTGTGCAAGGAGGAGCAGTGCTACTTTCATCACAATCTTTTCATTGACAGATCTTGCCAAGATAAATGTTAAGCAAGGGAAGATATTCAATGATTCTGTTGCATTAACAAATTGTTCCCTATTCTAAC